CCGGCCCCCGGTGGCTGTAGGTCCCTGAAGGCTGGTGGCCCCTGGTGGCCCTTGGCCCCTGTGTTGAACCTCTGCTGGTCTTTGCCTCCAGCTGCTTCTTGCTCCATTTTATTGGAAGCGTGATGTGGCTGAATGCTCCCCCTCCCCCACCCGTTGTCCCGTGCTGCAGATGTCAAAGAGTCTCTGCTTCTCTCCACTTCCAGGACCATCAGATGGAGAAAAAGACCCAGAACTAAATCTGATAGAACCTGAAGCTTCACTGCAGAGCCTGTGCAGGAGGCGGTGGATGTGCTCCATGTTCTGTAGGGTTCCTCACCATGTTGACGACGGCCATGAGCTTTAGCAAATAGAAATACGCTGCCACATTATGAATCATGGTCTCCATGGAAACCATGGCGGGGTTCTGCTCTGAGCACATTTGGACCATAAACCAAACTAGAAGCAGGTTTGCTTCAGTCAGCTGACCTCCGTCTGATTGGTCGCCTCCCCCTGTGATGTCAGCGCGCTCCATGAGCTGCAGCTGGTTTCCATTTAACTCTGATGGTTTCCTTCCTCTTTGAAACTGGAGACCAGCCACACCCCGCCGGGTCAGAACCGCCGGGCTGACGGACTCTGGGACTGGAGGAGGACCTGATCAGAACTTTTATCCGCTTCCCTCCCTCCATCTTTCTTTCCAATCAAGAGCCAACGGCGCCCCCTGCTGCTCACTGAGGAAGGAACAACCTGCTGGTTCCAGTGGACTGAGTCATTGCATAGAGAGCAGAGCAGCTCCTGCTCATCTTTAACAGACCCACTCCTTAAAAACAGCAGGTCCACTGGGAACCTGGCTGCATCTGCAATATGTGGGCGGAGCTTAAATGTTTGATTACATCCAACTAGGGATGAAGCAATCAGATTAATAGATTATTGAAATAAATCATCTAATTTAGGAATCGGTTAATTGTTAATTCGAGTATAAAGGCTGTAAAACAGAGCAGGAATTATACCAAGATTGTAAAAATATATATAAACATTTAGCATTTAAATAATAAAAACGTTTTTTATCTGTCAATCTGCTCTATAATCCAGAACTCCTCAAGTGGAAAAGTTTTAGTTTCACCTGGTTTGATTTCATAAAAAATCTTCTTGTGGAACCTTTGGATATCAGATTATTAATCTAAAAAATTAATCTATTTGCTAAATACTCGTCAATTGCAGCCCTACATCCAACATCGACCTGATCTAATAAAATATGTCAATCTATGCATGGCAGATCTGGGCTGTGTGGTGGCGTGGAGGGAGAGGTTCGTCTCTGGACCAGAACCCTGATAATGGAAACTTCAGGGGAAATACACTCTAGTCAGATTAAAAACTTTGAGTTAGAGCTGCAATTAACCAGTATTCTGCTAATTGATTAATCTGTGGATTATTTTTCAATGAATGATCAGAAAGGAAAAGGTTGCTTATGGAAGGATTTAACAGAATTAAACCAGATGAAACTTGAGGAGTTCTGGATTATAGAGCAGATTGACAGATGAAAAATAACTTTTTTTCTTATCAGAAATGCAAAATATTTATAATTTTTTTTTTACAATCTTGGTATAATTCCTGCTCTAAGTGGGTCACTCTGTCAGCTTAAGTCTTTCTACTCCAGTTAATGATTAATTACTAAATAAGCTGATTCTTTCCATAATTGATTAATCTGATCATTCTTCATTTCGCCATCCGTTCTTTTAGATGCATTCAAATGTAATCCGAGCTAATAACGATGGGAGAGGTCTAAAACTGTTTAGAGAATAAGGAACCGAAATGGAAATGATGAAAATGAGTCTTAAAGAACATGAACAGCTGCTATTAAAACTGACCTCTTATAGATTAAACGGTTAATCTGACCAATCAATGACAGGACAGAAGGATTATGGAGCCTTTCTGCATACTGACATAAACTAATGACAGTTTGAATCCAACAATCTGGATAAATAACACATGAAGGGAAGTGACACCCTGCGTATGTCGGATATTTGGGAGTTTTCCTATAAAATGCACATCTAAGCTTCCAGATGTTCTGGATTTTAATCTAGAAATCTGAATCTAATCTATAAAATGTTTTACCTTGTTCAGAAATAAAAGTAACTAGAAATATTTGGATGACTGAGATACGCCGGGAAAGTTTATCTGGGATAAAAAACAAAACACAGAAATGATTGAAAGACAAAGCAGGTTTGTTTTGTTCCTGGTCTTAATGAATTCCACCATCCTGCTCCGTTTCAGCCTTGGATCCAGTTTCTGTGCAGGACTGAAGGAAACGGAGGTTTAACAGAAGTGACCAGAGGGACACGTTTCTCTGCTCCACTCATCCTTTCTTTTTAGCATCCAGTGACCCACTGGAATAACGCTGATTATAGATTACCAGCTTCTATTCTCTGTTAAAATGAACCTGATGTTTTCTCTGCAGGTGGAGAAAATCAGCGCCAGTGAGCAGAAAGTGGAGGAAGACGTTCTAACGGAGCTTTTTACTGGCGACATGAACAGTCCGACAGGAATAAGGTAGGAAAGCTCAGCTTTTCAGCAATAATCAGAGGGAGAGATTCAGCAGAACAGAGCAGTGAGCTAATCGGCTCTGAATGAAGAGCCAGACTCTGGTCACAGGTTCACTCTGCTTTATAAATCCTCATGCTATCAGGATAAACTTGGATGGATTCTTTACACAGAATGAAATAAAAACAGAAACATCTTCCTGTGACCAGAGTCTGTGTCCAACCATCTGCTCTAATCTCTATATAGTGGTGACGCCATTTTACATGATCATCGAACGTCTAATGGATGAAAAAGTAGGGGACTCAATTTCCCAGTTTGCACCTTGAAAAGTACTGATCATCCATGGTCACTAGACCAGCAGTTATTTCCCAGAATGCTTTGAAAGAGCTCTCCTCGCAAAGCATCATGGGATTTTTTTGTGGTGCTGCCAAATAACAAAGATGTAAACATAATGTAATATAAATCCCTTTATTGTCCCACTGTGGGGAAATTAACCCTCTGCATTTAACCCCTCCCCTTGGGGAGCAGTGGGCTGCCACTGTGCGGAGCCCAGGGAGCAGTGTGGGGTTAAGGGTCTTGCTCAGGGACCCAGAGTGGCAGTCTGTGGGGATCAAACCAGATACTTACAGCCTTCTCAGAGTAACAGTGCACTGCTCTAACCAGGCTGCCACCACTCCCCCATAAAGGAAGAGTCAAAGCTCAAAGAAAACAAAATGTCAGCAGTGGGATTTCAACCCACACCTCCACTGGAGACTGCAACCTGACACAGCAACTTAGACCGCTCGGCCATACTGACTTCCGTAGGGTATGTAGGTTAGGCCCTGTCTGCTGCAGACAGGCTAACGTTAGCCGGTGGCCAGGGCTAACGTCGGCCCGTCCGCGGTGGCCAGGGCCTAGCGTCGGCCCGTCCGCGGTGGCCAGGGCCTAGCGTCGGCCCGTCTGCGGCGGCCAGGGCCTGACGTCGGCCCGTCGGCCAGGGCCTAGCGTCGGCCCGTCTGCGGCGGCCAGGGCTAACATGAACACTTTTGGGAACATAGAGCATGATGAGGGCGTGTGGAGATAGAGCTTCTATTACTAGATAGCTCCAGGTCTGCATGATGTTTGGAGCCTTTTCCCTCCAGGGCTCGACCACATGTCCCAGTGCTCCCAGTGCCCCCAGCACTACTTCATATTTGCGCTTTAACCTGGATAATGTACGGATTTCTGTTTAACTGCTTTTTAAATCTCTGAATATTCCTAAACATAGATGTGGAGCATTAAGGTTATGGGGGTGTGGGGTCCCTCCAGGCCTGATGAACTCTGACCTGTTCTTACAGCGCCACCTGTAGGAAGCCCATCAGAGGAGCCGCCGGACGCCCCCTGATCTCCAGCGAAGTGTGGAATGAGGAGTTTTCCAAAACCGCCAAGACAAGCAGCTTCTCCTACATGGGGAGCCACGCCGTCAACAGGGTGTCCAGTGGGAGCGCCTCCTCCAGCGCCTCCTCCAGCAACTCCTCCAGCACCTCCTCCAGCACCTCCTACGCCACGCTGGCTGTTACCGCTCCAACCAGAGCGCCGCGCCGCAGCACTGCTCTTTGGAAGAAGCTGGCCCTGGTCGGTGTCCTGGGTGCATTCCTGGTTTTTGTTTACCTGGCCATGGAGACCAACTCTGTGGGCCCGTTCCAGGCCTGAGCTACAGGGGGGGCAGCGTAGATAGGGGGGTGAATACTTCTGGTTGAAGTGTGAATCTGTAGCCAGTTTTTCTTACCTCATGATTCCCTGGTTTGTATTTTTAAAGTGTCTTTCTCCTTTAAGCGGTGTCCTGTAAAGCGGTGAAGAGTCCTGATGGATTCCTTAGAGCGAAGCACTGTAGCTTCTTGGTGCTAACTGTGTTGACATTGTGTGCGTTGGGGTTAAAGGCGGAGCTTAGTCTTACTGCCTGGATGTCAGCAAAGATGGCGCCATGACGCTGATGCTTCTAAAACTGAAACTCTTGATATATTTTCTTAATGTTTCTTATTAAACTGAATTTCTATTTTACACAAATGTAGTTGCTGCATTGCTCACTAAATAAAGCGTTACTGCAGCACATCGTGTCTTAAGTCTACATTTTCTGCTTCAGACCTTTTTCTGGAAAATGCTAAAAGCATTTCTCCCCTCGTATGAAGTTGATTTCTCATCCTTTCCCTCCAGTTGAAACTATAAACATCAGCCGGTCTGTTTCCACTTGCAACATGCAGAAAGGCCAGGGGGCTGGGCCGGCCACCATCCCAACATCTGACACTGAAAAGGAAGGGACACTTAGGCCTAAAGCTGTTAAAGTCTTAAACTGCTTTGA